TTGAAGTATACAATGCTCTAACCAACTGAGCTACCCCACCAGGGCTCAGAATTATGATTAAAGAATATAATTTTTCTAAAGATTTATTTATTTATTTTTAAAGAAAGAAGGGAGGAAAAAGACAGGGACAGATACATTTATGTGAGAGAGAAACAGCAATTGGTTGCCTCTCATACATGTCTCGGACTGGGAATCAAACCTGCAACCCAGGGAATCAACCAGCGACTCCTCACTTTACTACCAATTAAGCCATACTGGTCAGGGCAAGAATATAAATTTTGATAATTTAAGGAATTCAGTATATGCCCCAATTGCTTCATGTAAAAGCTTCATTTTTAAAATACATTTTTAGGAAGTATGATTTCTCTAATATTTAAACTACATAGATGAGATCCAAGATGGTAGAGGAGTAAGTGGAAGTTACACTAACCTCCTCCCAGGACCAGTCTGGAATTACAACTAAATTTTAGAGAAATAATCCTGAATAATCAACTGAACACTAGCAAGAGAGAAACCTTATAACCAAGAACAGACAAAAGAAACCACTCACCACAGTGTGACTGGTAGGGAGTGCATAGGAGGCACAAGAGGGCTGGCTGGGCTCCCACAAGTGGCAGTTGAAGTTCCAGAGGAATATTTCAGCAGCCAGGAGATTCCCCTAAGAAGAGTGGCATTCAACACCCCAAACTGAGCTCCCCAGCCAATATCGCCAGAGCCGGAAAGGAACCCAGATAACATCTAGATGTGTATGTTAACATCTAGATGTTTAACACTTGTTGCAGTACTGCAACAAATGTTAAAGGGCTTGCTTTAAGAAGAAAAGGAGAAAGAAAAAAAAAAAGAGGAAAACAGTCTAACAATAGAATGGCACTACGTACATATCTATCAATAATCAATCACCTTAAATATAAATGTCTTAAATGTTCCAACCAAAAGATATAGGGTAGCTGAATGGATAAAAAAATAAAAGGATGAAAAAAGATATTTCAGACAAATGGAAAGAAACAAAAAGCTGGTGTAGCAGTACTTATATCCAACAAAATAGACTTTAAAACCAAGGCTATATAGTAAGAAACAAAGAAGGACACTACGTACAAAGGGAATAATCCACCAAGAGGGTATAACCCTAGTAAATATTTATGTACCCAACATAGGAGCATTTAATATGTAAAGCAAATTTTGATGGACATAAAGGGACAGGTTGACTGAAATACAGTCATAATTGGGGATTTTAACACCCCATTGACTTCAAAGGATAGATTTTCCTGACAGAAAATCAATGAGAGACAGCAGCCTTAAACCACACACTAGATCAAATGGATTCATTGATACCTTCAGAGCATGTCACCCCAAAGCAGCAGAATATACATACTTTTGAAGTGCACATGGAATATTTTTTAGGATAGACCACATGCTAGGACACAAAACAAATCTCAGTAAATTTAAGAAGATTGAAATCATATCAAGCCTCTTCTCTGACCACACTGCTATGAACTGCAGTTTCTGGGAATGCAGATTGGTGCAGCCACAACTTTCCCGCTACCCCAGTCATCCCTACCTCCCGCTGTGGAAACGAGTGTGGAGATTCCTCAAAAAATCAAAAATGGATCTGCTTTTTGACTCAGTGATCCCACTTTTGGTAATATACCCTAATTAACCCAAAACACTAATTTGAAAGAACATAAGCCACCCCTATGTTCATTACAACATTTACAATCACCAAGATATGGAAGCAGCCTAAATGTCCATCAATAGATGAGTGGATAAAACAACTATGGGACATTTACACAATGGGATACTACTCAGCCATAAAAAAGGAGAAGAAGAAGAAAATTTTACCATGTGTGACAGTATGGATAAACCTAGAGAAAATTATGCTAAGTAAAATAAGCCAGTCAGAGAAAGAACCATGTTATTTCACTCATATGTGGAATCTAATGAACAAACTAACTAACAAGGAAAATGGGGACAAACTCATACATGGAGAGCAGGGTGACAGCTGGTAGGAGGGGGGAAGTGAGGGGGTAGATGGACTGAGCAAAAAGGGAAAAAGACTCATGGACATGGACAACAGAGTGGGCATTGCTAGGGGGAGTAAGGTATAAGGAGACTAAATGGTAATGGGAAAATACAATAGAGATTACAAAAGCTTTTTTAATAAACTACATATTTTGCTACATATTAAAAATCACTGTATTTCATATAATGACATTACTTATCAACTATCAAAAACATATACTGTTGGAATTGGTTTCCAGAAATGGTTAGTTAGCCTGGCCTGCATCTTCTACATCTTCTTACCCAGTCTCTCTGAGTGTAAATATCAGCACTCATAAGACAGCTAAATTTAGGATTTTTTTTATATTAATCATTGTTCAAGTACAATTTTCTGTCTTTTACTCCCATCCCAGCCCACCCCCCAGCCCTCCCCATCTTCCTCCCATTTCCACCCCCCCCCCCCCCAGTTTTTGACCATGTGTCCTTTATACTTGTTCCTGTAAGGAATTTTCTTTTTTATTATTATTATTGATTGATTTTTATTTTCCTTTTTTAAATTTATTGTTTTTTAATTATTGTTCAAGTACAGTTGTCTCCATTTTCCCCCCACCACTACCCCCCACCCCAACCATCTTTACCTCCCACCCTCAACCCTACTTCCCTATGGCTTTGTCCATGTGTCCTTTATACATTTTCCTTGACAAACTCTCCCCCTTCCCCTCCCCCACTATCCCCACCCACATCCTCTCTAGTTACTGTCAGTTTGTTCTTAATTTCAGTGTCTCTGGTTATATTTTGCTTGCTTGTTTCTTGTGTTGCTTAGGTTCTACTTATAGGTGAGATCATATGGTGTTTGTCTTTCACTACCTGGCTTATTTCACTTAGCGTCATGCTCTCCAGTTTCCATCCATGCTATCACAAAGGGTAGGACCTCCTTCTTTCTTTCTGCTGTGTAGTATTCCATTGTGTAAATGCACCAGTTTTTTGATCCACTCATTTATTGATGGGCACTTAGGTTGCTTCCAGCACTTGGCTATTGTAAATTGTGCTGTTATGAACATTGGGGTGCATAGGTTTTTATGGATTGGTGTTTCAGGGTTCTTAGGGTATAACAGCAGTGGAATTGCCAGGTCAACAGGCAATTCCATTTTTAATACTATAGATTTGTATTTTCTCATAAAACCATCTTGCCACTGTGGAAATTGACTCAATAAATGTGGCTTCCTCATTAGCACCCTACCTCAACCAGCTAAGGTAACTGCTCCCAGAAAACAAATATTAAACTGCATTTTCTTTAGAATGATCAAAGAATTTGAACCTAATGTGTAACCTGATTCTGTATCTTGACTGGAGCAATTCATCAAACATGTTTGTTTTTCTCATGCATGATTCAGAATTACATTTTTATTTTTCTTCCAGAGTCTGTATCCTTATAGCTGATTTCATTTCCAGATTTGTGTCACGTTGAGTTGATTGGCTTTGCAAACCTAGCATAAATGCAACCCAGCACTTTGAACATACCTTAAAGAGCACCTCCAATTGCTAAATAGGAAAGTGGAACAAGTTTCTACTAGTGTCTGCTTCCCAAACACCTTGATACCAGTGACAAGATACTGCAGTATGCTGTGATGGATCTGCTGATCACATCCAGGCCTTTGCCTTAGGAGCATGAGCTGCATGTTGGCCTGGTGTGTAATTGGACTCTTAGAACCATCTGGCAGCTTCTGTGACATATTAGTGGCCTTGGCCCAGTTTCTAATTGGCGTGTATCTGCTGCATCCACAGGACAGCTTAACTTTCTAAGCAAGAGAGGTCATAATATCTTTTTATTCTTTAGTTATGATGCAATTGCTCTTTGCAGGTTTTTTGTTTTAACTGAGAAGAAGCTAAAATTTCAAGATTCCGTGATACTTTAATCTTGAGCCTTTGAATCTACTTCTCTGCTAACTGAAACAGAGTCTAGAAACCACGGATCCTGATCCCATGTCTTGAAGAAATTATGTAGCATTATATATCTCTCTCTGGCTTCAAGCCATAAACATTCTTAATCTGTAGACTGTCTGCAAACTTTAATAGAAAGCTTCATCTGTAATCATTTTAAACAGAGCCAATGGAAACAAGATTGCTTTAGTTAGTAGCTTACCAGCTTAAACTGAGTACTCTCTAGTTGGAATGGAAATTTAAGGAAAAATTCAGAATAAGTTTTCACTTACATTTTATATCTTACTTGGCAACTTGTTTGAAAATGTTGCATAAAAGATCCAACACAGGAAACATTTTATATTCCTGCTTATGATTAATAAATATGGAATCTGAGGCATTCTATTTTATAAATCAAAGCCTTAGTCCAGATTTCCTGTTTTTCTACATTTTAAAAAAAGACAGGGTAAAAATAGCACTAAACTATATAGAGTACTCAGGTCAAGGCAACAGGCAGAATTGACTACTCAAGATGCCAAGACTTCTCAGACCAACAATAGAAACATTCATTTTATAGTCACTGTAAACAGATAAGACATTTGTTGCAGGTTTTATAAAAATATAAGTAAATATATTCTACTTCAGATTTTCTATGCTTATTGAGAAAAGTTAAGAATAAAAATAATAAACAAAATAATAAACCAGTGACTTGAAAATATAGGCTCACACATTGATAGCTCATGGAAAATGCCAGTCTAAACAGTCAAATTTTCTTACTATATCTTCATTTTAATCACATTTATTTCTGCCTGTATTTGCAAACCTGGCTATTGTCTTTAATCTGTAAGACCCTGCACCCCCACCCAAACACACATGTGCACTCGCACATTCGGACCTTTGTTCCGAGATCTTCCAGTCTGTGTAACAGCCTATAGTGGATCTTCCAGCATCTCTCTGTATGTAGAATATTGCCAAGATACGCTGGAGAATATGTTTATGGCAGTAGGTATTTTGGGATTGTTACCATTAGTTGACTCCTCATCATACTAAGAGGAAAGTTTTCTCGTTTGTATTTTTTATAGCCTAAGGAATGTTTCTTGGTACAACCAAAGGAAACAAATGAAGACACCACCAAAACCAGGAAGAGGAAAAAGGTAATAATAATTATTATGCTAATAATTCCTTACAGTGGTGTGGCCCTACGTGGTTTACATCGCCTTTTTTTATAGAGTACTTAGTGGAGGCAGTTATTGTAATCACCACTTTAGTGAGGCAAAAATTGTAAGATTCAGTGAGGTTTGGTGACTTTCCTAAGGTCACTTGTAATAAGAGTTTCTGCTGGAGTTAAAAATAAGTCCTTCTGATTCCTATTTCAGTTTTGCAGAGCACTAAACATCTTTCTTACCCACCCTGTGTTTTCCCTGTGGTTCGCAGTCAGACATGGGTTTCTAATTCTAGCAGGGGCCCAGAGCTGTCCTGCCCTCTGGCCCCTCTGGCTCTGTCCAAGGAAAGAAGTACACCAACCTCCATTTCTTAACCATTTCAAGTTTTGAAACCTTTTATCTTTGAGTATTAACAGAGAAAATAATAAGCAGATGAAGATAGTATAAGGCATTTCTGACTCTCACTTGGAACCATAATTTAAAGCAAAAGGGCCCCCTTGTATTTTAATACTTGGCTGTGAGTATATGGAAGGAAGACTCCGTTGCTCCTATACAAACTTTCTTATGGCTCAGACGTGGAGAAAGTGTGGTTAGCTTTGACCTTCCACCACAGTTGTGAAAACAGGAGTGCAGTTCTCTCCCTGCCAAGAAGGGTCTACTGCTGAAGTCAGCAGAGGAAATATGATTGAGATTAGAGGAAAGAGGATGGACTCAAACCAATTACTTAACAGCAAGCTTTTAGAAAACTGTAGTGTGTGTGCATATGTTTTCTTTGCTTGCAAATGGCCAAATAGGAAGATAGGAGATGCCAAATTGGCTGAGGTTTGGCAAGTCCTTAAAGAAGTAACTTTAACTTCTCTTTGATAGTTTGTGCATTAATGGCCTTCAGGAGTGTTAAGTTCTTGGCGGCTCAAGGTCAGAGCTCTAGCTAGATAGTTTAGCCTTGGATGAGGTCATGCTAATGTGTGCCCACTGATGACATATTTTTAAAAGTTACTTCATGTGACAGGACTCTGACTATTCTTGGCAGTGGTGTAAAAATGAGGATATTGTGGAAGGAGGGAAAAAAAAGCTGGGGGCTCCGGGAGGATGGGGAATGGCTCTTTCTAGATCTTTGGTGAAACATTAGAAGGAAATGAGAAGGGAAGTTTATGATGAAAGATTGTGTGTTCCTAGTACATTGCAGGCATTCAGAAAGTGCTGCACAAATAAGTCCAGGGCAAAATAGATGTTTACAATATTTTCTGTTCTTATTTCCCAAGGAACACTTTAAGACTGTCTCCCAAGACTTGAAAATTGAGGGTCTAAAAGTTCCCCTTTTCAGTGGGTCTTGTGCTCAGATAGCTCCTGCATCTTTTACTTGAACCCCAAAAATCCAAACTGAGAGTCAGTGCCTTAAAGACCAGATTAGGCAAGCAGCTCTCAAAATTCTGCTCTCCCAGGTTTAGGGAGGGTTCAACAGCAACAAGATTTCTTGACTTTTACCAGAAAATAATACCCTGTTTTGGAGACTCCTATAAAAACATCAGTTCTCCTAGAAGTCTTTGTAACTAACAGTTGCAAGGAGTCTTTGAGATCATCCACTCATTTTTCAAAGCAGTAATGTCCAAGAAATATCTGTTCGGTTTTCTCAAATCTGTTTATTCACATTCATCCTCAGCCATCACCGAACTATGTGCAGTTTAAATGCCAGAGGAATTGATCTCTCCTAAGCCAGATGCCATTCTAAAATCTTTCCTCCCTCATTTTCTTTCTTCTTGTGTCTTAGAAGAAAATTACTGACATTCTCGCAAAATCAGAGCCAAAACCAGGGACACCTGAAGACCTGCAGAAACTAATGAAGGACTATTACAGCAGCAATCGCTCAGTGATTGAATTAGAAGAACTTAAGCTACCAGGTACAGCCAGGCTTCTTTGGTTTGGTTTGAGGTTGGAGGGGGGGGTCCTCTTTTTTTTCTTACTATTCAGAGGTTAGTCATTCAGAAGGACCCATTGTTATTGCTAAAAGTTTTTCTGATGAGGAGGAGCAAAACAGACTCATCTTTACTCTATACTATGCAAGGTACCTCAGCCAGACATTAACAATACAGGGTCTGGCAGCAGTAAGGCCTACTTGAGTGTGGTTGGTAGGGTAATAATATGGGTGTAATAATCTATAGCTTTAACTTGAACATTTCACCAACTTGTCATAGGTTGTGTTTGACTGTGATATTGTTATGTTACAGAATTACATGCTTATGATTTTGAAATAAAAGATTGTATAATAAAAAAGGGGCATTATTTGTGCCAGACCCTATATATTTGCCGTGCTAATACTCTTTTCCTCAGCCTCGTAGTTGTAATTCTTGGATGATTTCTTTGTTAATATACTAAATAATGTTTGTTCAGTCTGATAGAAAGATTTTAATTGTATTTTTTCTCAAAAGGCTAATTGTTGGTCATGCATTGTTTTAGCAGGATCTTCAAGGAGTAAGAATTCCTAAGGAGGATAGATGTTAAATAAAAATAAAGTCAAACCATGCATTTAAAAGTATAGATATGAAACATGGATTTATTCATTTTTTATGGACAAGAATGTTAGCTTTAATAAGCAGCTTGGTTGCTGCTCTTATCATGGATATCTAATTATGCTTTTGTTTTTAGGATAGTTTTTGAGTCCCAGCCCAGAGCTTTTCAAGCAAACTATCTAAAGATAGGGTCAAAATTCTGCATAAGATATTGCAAATTCTTAAAACAACATATTTTAACTAATTTCAAATCTATGAAACATCCTGTGACTCTTGGGCAGAGATGGCGGAGACGCTGTCCTAAGCTCAAGACACATGCAGTCTGGGTGCCGTGCCTGAGATGGGCTGTTCTATAGACTCCGAGGGATATCTAAGCTGCTTCTGGAAAAAGTCAAGGGTAGTTTGATTTCCTTTTTCCATTTCAACTTTATGCTTGCTAGAGGCTTGAGAAGCTGAAAAACAGCCCATTCCATGAATTTTCATAATTCCTTCATGATACGCTTTTTTGTTTAAATGCACGTTGGATTGGAGGCGTGAGTGCCCGTCTGTTTACTTTCCAAGAGGGACAGCCATCAGGGAATTGAAGGGGTGCACCTCCCCGTGATTGAGACCCAGAGTTGTTGACTTGCTGAGCCCAGACGGCTCCACCAGCAGTGAGAAACCAGTCTTCTCCACTCAGCAGTTCCTCTGGAGCAGAGGTTCTGACTGCTGTTTCTCAGGAAGCAAGTGTTATAACAAAGCCTCTTTGCAAGGTTCAAGTGAAAGTTTAGTGTTGCTGTGGGTCAATTTTTCCTTCTAGTTTTTTGTGAGGGCAAACCTCCGACTTTGGAAGGACCCAGGAGATAATGGGACCACCGCAACTCTGTAACCTCATGGAACATCATAACCCTTAATTTACTAGAGCTGTAGAGAGATGAAGGTCAGAAGATACCTTTGAGGAGTCATTTGAGTTCCATAGTGAGTTTACATTATATCATTGCTGAATTAGAGTTCAGTAATGCAATAGGCAAGAATGTGCAGTCGTGTGTTGGTTTAGGGAGGAAGGAAAAAATGATAAATATGTTTCAAATACTGTTACAGCCAACAAGAACAGGTTTTCATTTTCCGCTAAGACATTAGGCCATTCTGACTCACAGTAATCGAAGGCGTCGTAGGAAGGTTGTGGAGAAAAGGCCCGTCACTATATGCACAGGACCAAGGACAGAGAGGAAGTCCATGCTAGGTGAGAGGAGGGACACACCATGCGTTATTTGGTGCAGGCTCAGGAAGGGGCACGAATATAAGGGGGCTAAAAATAATAAAGTACTTTTTCTTCTTAGTTTGCCGAGTGTGTGATTTGGTTTTGATTTGAGGTGGTTTGTGTCCGTAGAACAGGAGCGTGTCTTTTCAGTTAGTGCGGTCACTGTGCATTGTTAATGTCACACACAGGGGCACTTGATTAGGGTTTCAAGGCAGGAGTCACTCGGAGCGAACCTGCTGTCCTCCTGAGGGCTCTGTCGTGGTTTAGATCAGTGCTAGCTGCACCTGAACCACCTGGCAACTTAAAAAGCAAATCCCCAGGCTCACCCCCAAGGAACTCAAAGTCACTATGAAAAAAGGAGTCCATCCCAGGAATCTGCATCTTCTGTAAAGCTCTCCAGGTGAATCTCACCACATCCAGACTTGGAAAAATAGTTTTAAAGACCACTGAAGGCTCCGCAATAGTACAGGAGGCAGTATCTTTGAAGTCCATTACTCACATAATGTATAAATGCTAGGTTACAATGTAAATGTCATTTAATTTAGTAATAATTTACTCTGCTGCATTTATAGACAAATGTTTCCTTGTAGAAAAAATTAGGACAAAAACACGATGCTGCTTTTCATCCATCTCAGTTACAGAGTTAATAATACTGTATAACTGCTAGACCATATTGTCATTGGTTGAGCAAGCCCGTGTTTTGGTGTTACACTGTCTTTTATTGTGGTGTTATATTGCATTTGACGTATTATTTCCTAACATGCACTCCAGTTTCCTTTCCCTGTAGGCATTCATTCTGTATCAGTGGTTTTAAATGTAAAATATGTCACATTGCTGTAGGTGTGTACATTTTACAATTGTTCTAAATGATATTGTACTGAACTACTCATTCTGTGTCTTCCTGACTTAACACTTTTTTGATATATTCCTATATGGCTTTATGTACATCTAGTTGAGTGCTTCTAAATGCTACATAGTATTCCAGCGACTTCATCTATTATCTATTATTCACCCATGTTCTCAGATATGGACACCTAGGTCACTTCCAGTTCCCCACTATCACAAATAATGCTGGGGTGAATATACTTGTGTATGTCTCTTTACAGACCACACAAGAATTTCTTTCTGTTATTTACTCAGAAATGTAATCCTGGGGTCATGGGGTGGTATACATCCTATTTTTACTACTTTCCAAAATAGCTACACCAGCCTGCACCTTCACCTACCATTCACAAGAGTTTCTGTCACCCTGCACTCTAGACAGCACTTGGTGTTGCACATCCAACAGTTGCCCTCCTCATGTGTGTGTAAAAGTTATCATGCCCTAATTTGCACGCTTGTGATGACTAGTGAGTTTGAACACCTCTACATAGATATGTTAGCTGTTTCCGCTTTGCCTTTGTACATTGTCTGTTTTATGGATTTAAAAAATAAAGATGCTTCATTACTCCAATGAATAATACAATAGCTTTTATTTCACTACTGTAAGAAACTAGGGATAAAGTGTAATTGTTGTTGCTGCTGCTATTGTCTTAAATACTAGACAACACTTTAAAATACATAATGAGCCCCCAAATCACTAATTTGTACAACTGTGTTCAAGAAAACACTCTTCACATTTAATCTATTTTTATTATGTGGGTGTTTGCAAAATTCTGTACAAAACATGTTTCTCATCTTTCTAGACTCCTGTTTCCTCAAGGTCAATGATTTGACTCATAGTCTTTCATCATACCTAAAAGAAAGTAAGTAAACTCGCATTTTAAAAAATTATTCACCAAGTTGTTTTTACATTAAAACATAAGTTCAGTCTCTTTAAAAACTGTCAAAACTACATTTAAAATAAAGTTTCCAGCTTTTTTAAAATAAAGTTTCCATCTTAAATGGATTTTAAATGCAGAACCGTAAATGGATTTTCAATGGAGGATTTTTTATGTCCCTCTTGATATTAATTTTTATTTATTTAAGTTTATTCTTGTTTTACTCTGGCTTTGGTAATTTGGGATTTTGTCTCATTTTGTTTTGTAACACACTGGAAGTATTGGTCTAGGAATCTAAATGCTAATTACTGTTCTAATCTCAGGTCCCCACTAATTTTCTGTTTGACCTGGGACAAGTCACTGAGACTTGGGACTTGTTTTCTTATCTGAAAGATAAGGAAGTGGACTGTCTGACCTCCGCTCCAGCCAGGAGATTCTGAAATTCTGTTCACATCTTTAGAACTCAGACCTTGGGTATTACAGAGTCAATCTAATTTGATTTTTTTCAACATGTATTGTGTTGTACTCAGTAATAACTACTTTATTCACATGAGCTAGTCATTTATTTGTAACCAACAATGAAATAGTATAGATATAACATTCAGAGATTTAGCATTCTTCTTTCAAACTCTAATCAATTCTGATGACACTCAGGTTGAGTTTATACACCCTTCTCAGACCCAAATTCAGCAAATATAAATGTAGATAAATCAACCTCACTGGGTTAGCATCAAACGAGAATGCATGTAAAGTGCCTGATACAAGCCACAGTTTAACAAATGTTTGCTATTATTTTAATGTCATTTTCGTTTTATATTTTATGCTGTGTCCCTTTAAAAGTAAATATTGAATCACATTTCTTCTCCTACTCAATCTTGCCTTCAAGCATCAAACAGATTAAAATATTGCAAATGCATCATTCCAAACTTTTTTTACTTAGTCTTAAAACTAGCCACATTTAGCTACTTGGCATAATATGTTTTGTGTTGTAAGTTAATGATATTTCACTTTAATCTAATACCTAGAATAACCAGTGAACAGAATCTAAATAGTGCTCACTATGTTTCATTTTACTTAAACACTAACAAAGAAGTAATTGGAGAACACTCAACTTTGGTGGCCCTATTTTGCCACGTTTAGAATAATATTTTTCTTATGGTCTTTTTTTCAGTCTGTCCTAAGTGGGCAAAGCTGCGGAAAAACCACACTGAGAAGAAATCAGTCCTAATGCTGATCATCTGCAGCTCCGCCGTCCGAGCCCTGGAGCTCATTAGGTTGGAAGGTTCACCTATTACTCGTAAATGTTTTCTGAATAACCAGTCTGTGCTGAACTGATGTGTTCTGTGTGCTGGAGATGGACTACACAGCGTGAACCAAACAGAGTCCGCTGTCTTGTAGAACTCTCCGTGAGGAACACAGACAATAAAAAATCAATATACATTATAATATCAGGTAGTGATAAGTTATATAAGGAAAAGTACAGCATGACAAAGGGATAGAAGTGAATGGGAGCTTCTTTTAAAAGAGTTGTCCCAGAAAACTTCTCCACAGAGAAAACATTTGAGCAGAGCCTTAAACAAAGTGAAGGAGAAAGCCAAGCAGATATGTAAGAGCATTCCAGGCAGAGGGGACAGTTAGGACAATCTGAATAATCATTCTAAAGGATCACTTTGGCTGCTGTGTGGGGAACACACGTTGCAGAGGGCCGTGTGAAAACGGAGATCATAGGAGCAATAACCAGTCAGAAGAAAAAATAGAAGGAAGATCTAATTTAAAATAAGAAAAGAAAAAACACCAAGAAATAAACTTACCAAAGTCTGTATAAAGGAAATACAAAGCCTGTATACTGTATAAGAAGCGATGCAGAAGACCTTGAACAAACAAAAAGCCATACTGGATTCTTGAATAATCTGACTCAATGTTGTAAAGATTGTTTTACCTAGGATAATCTACAAGTTCCACAGATTCCCAAAGAGTCTCAAAAAGAATTGTTTTTATACTAAACTGTATCTAAGTTCATATGAGAAGAAATAGGTCCTCGGGAAAATTCTGAAAAAGATACTATGAGCAGATACTGTGCCTATAACATCAGATTTTTAAAAAATATATTACAAAGTCTTAATAATTAAAACAGTATGGGACTAGCACATGTGTGACAGACAGATCAGTGGAACAGATCTGAAGCTTCAGAAATAGACCCATATATATGAAAATGTAGCCTATGGCAAAGGTGACAAATCGGGAAGGAAAGATGGATTATTTAATACACCGTGCTGAACAAGTAGGCAGCCATCTGGAAACAGAGTTGGATTCATATCTCACTTCTTAGATCAAGATAAATTCCAAGTAGGCCAATATTTAAATGTGAAAATTAGGCTTTAAAGATAATTTGTCAGTGCTTTTACTATTTCTTTCACGTACTTTTCCCCTTACTGTAGTTGTGTAGAATCAACAAAAAGGCCCCTGCTGGATCCCAGTGACACTCAGCCTTCAGAGAAAAGCCATCAGAGTAAAAGGGGATTTACTGAGACTCACCCTCTCCCATGGGTGGGCTCTGTGCCAGGTTTTGACACAAGATAAAGGAAAATTTAAGTCCTGAAAAAGAGGAACTTTATCAAGTAGACTAAGGTGCAAATGTAGACACTCAGTAGTTATTCAGAATCTGTTTTTCTACATGAACAAATCTGATCATAAATTTAGAAAAGTAGTTGTTATTAAGCTTTGTTAATAGTCATTCAAACTCTCCATTCCCCATTAGGCACACACAAAAGTGATCTTTCAACTATTTCTGTTTTAAACATAATTGATATTCACGACACCATCTGCTCCTGGGAAGTTGTATTTGAAATCATAGGAGTTTACATAGACTTTTCAGTGTTTTAAAATCTACAACCACAAAACTTATTTCATATTCAGACACTAATGGCAAAGACATTGGCCTCAAGGTGGCCTCTTAAAAGCAAGTTGTCAAGTTGATTTGAATGTTCACTATGCATAAATGCCTTTCTGAAGGGCATAAAAGCACTATGTTGTCGCACCTCATTTACCAATTCTCAGTGTTTTTCTGTGTCCCCAAGCAAATACTATGATCCATTTCTAGGTTAGGTGATTTGTAAAAGGTGATTTTTGAGCAAGCACAATGAGCCCTATTCATAAAGACCAATGGTGAATAATTCTGACTTTTGTAAGAATCTGCTCCCTTGAGAACCATGAGTTATGTTAAATATGTCCACTAAATTGTCTTCCTACTTAACCTTGCCATGGAGAAAGCTTATGTGTAAGTAAAAAATCAAGTGCAACAGAACTGTATAACGTGATTTACTGCTTGCGAACTCATAGATTCCTATTGGTCAATACTATTTCCCAAAACATAATAATAATATATAAAGAAAGAAATACTCTTGAGCAGTTTTACCATAGTGGTTCTTGCCCCAAACATCAACTAAGAGATTTTATTATTTTATACCCATTTATATCCGAATATATCTACATATAAAATTTTTGGGAAAAGCTCACTCTGCAAAGTAAACAGAAGTAGGTTCCTCTGATAAAAGACATGAGCTGTCTTGCCACTCCCAGTCATCTCATCCCTGTCTCCCCCTCAACCACAAACAACTTTTGTACATGCCCCTGGACTCCACAGAGCACAGGCTGGCACCACTGCTGTAAGATACTGGGCTGGCCAAAAAGTTCGTTCTGTTTTTTCCATGTGAAGGCTCTAGCACTGCTTTGTTGTCTTTAACTTCATTGAGAACAATTTTGTTAGATTGTATTGTGACAGTTGTCATATCCATGAGCATTTTTTTTAAAAAATCAGCCCTGGCTGGTGTGGCTCAGTGGATTGAGTGCTAGCCTGCAAACCAAAGGGTCACCGATTCAATTCCCAGTCGGGGAAAATGCCTGGGTTTGCAGTCCAGATCCCCATTTGGAGGCTGTATGAGAAATGACTACACATTGATGTTTTTCTCCCTTTCTCCCTCACTCCCTCTCTCTAAAAATAAATAAAATATTTTTTAGAAAATAAATTTTTAAAAAATTGGTGAATTTTTGTGTGGCCATTTAAATATTGAAATGGATGAAGTACACAACAGTTTCAGTATGTTATGCTTTATTATCTCAAGCAAGGTGAAAACACAACTGAAACATTTTTAAAAAGATTTGTGCAGTATATGGAGAAGGTGGGGTGACTGATTGAACATGTCAAAAGTGGTTTGTGAAGTTTTCACTGTGGGGCTGTCTTGTGCATTGGAAGATGTTTAGCAGCAGCCCTGGCCTCTATCCACTAAAAGCCAATAGCAGGAGATAGCTGACATACTCAAAATATCCAAATCAATAAAGTTATTAGTAAAAATGAAAAGTATATATTTTATTTTACAGAAAAAAACTAAACGGACCTTTTGGCCAACCCAATCATTCTCACAACCAAATATTATATGACAAGTATACTGCAGAAGTTGAAGATAAATTCTCTGCCAGGGACCTGAAATACAGAAATTCTGTTTTGCAAGTAAAATGTAGGTCTGTTTCAATAATCCAGGGAAACTAAGTAAAGCCAACCTTAAGTGTGAGAGTGACAAGCCTAATTAAAAGGCTACCCCACTTCCAATTCAGAGATGGCTAACCTGAAAATCTCAGAATGTTTATGTGTGTGTACACATAAAATACAGGTACATATGTGCTAATATACATACATAAATGCACATATTCTTTTGAATAAAGTAAGATATAATACTTAAGTTGTCAACATAGCCCAGAATGAGTGACTTTTCATATGGACTAATCTATTCCTTTTCATTAGGTCAATGACATCATTCAGAGGAGACAGCAAAGTTATGAAATTATTTGCAAAACACATAAAGGTAAGCAAAGAGCCTGTGGTTCTTGGTGGGTGATGTTAGTGACCCTTATGGGCCATTTGTAGACCCCAGCTTTTCCCTGCAATCTCTACTTATCTCCTTGGCAAGCATTTTCTTCGGTGCCTCCTTACATAACATACTTAACCATTCTGGCTTTCTTTGCATTCCTGCCTCTGCACTCCCACCTCTCCCCACAACAGGCACTACTCTACTCCTCCATGCTCCAGGATTCCTCTACAGAAGCTGAGGTTTGACTCCTGGATTCTTTGAAGATCTACCAGTTTTCTTCTATCTTGATGTTAACCTTCTTTGCCCTAGAAGTTGACCCTAGATAAGGGTAGACCCTTTCACTCTTTAACTTTCTTAACTTTTAGATAAAATACTCAAAATTGGCCTATGATTAATTATACTTTCTAATGATTCTTTGAAATATATGGGAGAGGTACTTCCTCATACATCCAAGAAATGATCTCGACACTAGCTTGATGTCCTGCAATGCAACTCAATTCTGATATTATCTACCTAGAGATACATCAGATTTCACAGGTTAAGGGTTCAGCACTGCAAGACTGCATATACATCCCCAACCCCCAATTTCACATGCCAGTAGCAAGCCCAGGCTGTTACCTATACTTCTGACCAACTGGTTATAAATCAGAGGTTCCTACCACCCCCTCCTTCAAATTCAGTTAATTTGCTAAAGCAGCTCACAAAACTCAGGAAACATTTTACTTACTAGATCACCAGATTGTTATAAAAGCACGTAACTCAGGAACAGCCAGATGGAAGATGCACAGGGCAAGGTATGGTAAAGAGCATGAGCTTCCGTGCCCTCTCCAAGCACAACACTCTCCCCAGTCTCCACGTGCTCACCAACACGGAACTTCTTCACACCCCTTCCTCTCTAGTATTTTATGAAGGTTTCAATACATAGGCATGATTGATTAAATCACTGGCCATTGGCAGTTGATTCAGCCTTCAGCCCCTCTCCTCTCCCTGGAGGTTGGGGGTGGGACTGAAAGTTCCAACCCTCTAATTACATGGTTGATTCTCCTGGAATCAGCCCCCATCCTCCAGTGCTCCCAAAAGTCACCTCATTCAAATAATAAAAGACAGTTTTATCACTCTCGACACTTAGGAAATTGCAAGGGCTTGGGGAGTTGTGAGGCAGGAACTGTGGATGAAGGCCACATTTATATGAGAATAAATGGTAGTCTGCCTCAGATCACACTTCTCTTTATTCTCTTCCATCTTGGAATAGGTCCAGGAGCAGGTAAAGTTGCTGGAGAAGCGTGCTGTGCACCTGGGTGTAGGAACTCCAGGGAGGATTAAAGAACTCGTTAAACAAGGTATGAAAAGAGCCAGTGATACTCTTCAGAGCTGGGAGTTTGCCTTATCCCCATGTGAGCTTTGGGATGCCACATGTGTGATGTATGATGTGTGAAACCAGATCTCTGTGTTAATTCGGAAGTTGGAAACTCTGCTCTCAGTCTCTAGAGTCAGCCAGCAGGTGGAATAGGGAATGATAAGGACTGGGGCAAATGGCAGTACCTGTGCCCACCTGAATAAATTCAGGTTTCAACTGCTTCAAGCAGGTTAGTGGATCTACAATTAATTCCATCAGTTTGCACCCTCTGGAATTTGTAGAACTGGATGTGTTGAGTATTTCCCCCTTACTTAATCAAGGCTTTGTTCTCCCAGACTCCCGTTCCACTTAAGAGCTGGTATTTAAACCATGTGGAAACAAAAATGCAGTTCCTGTGGATGAAATACTGGTATTCTAGAATATTTCTCTCAAATGCATTTTTCTGTTAGTGCTTTACTCAGAAAGTATTCCAGACAACATCTACCTGCTAACCTGCTGATGATCTTACTACCTGTTATACCTGCCAGACAGATTAAAGATTTCTTGTCATTATTCATTCCAAATTACTTATTTAATATAGCAATACAACATTGTTTTATAACTGACAGGAGCTATTCCATGTTTTTTAAAATATCTAGCAGTCATGTGTTTCCAGTACAGTAGCATTTCTCTCCAGATAAAAGCTATTCAGTTATTGAACACACTATATGCAGAGCTTTTTACAATTACAAGTAACAAACTGGAGGCTTCAGATGAGGAAGGGAAACTAATATTTTTTGAGTTCTTATTTGTACTTAATGGTATTCTTGACACGCTTACATTGATCTCCTTTATCATTCACATCATCCTTGCAGGCTGGCGTTCTTATTTCTTATGAGAGAAAACTAAAGCTCTCAACGGTTAAGTGCCCCTTCCAAAGTCACTCACTCTAGGCCTTTCCGGTTCCTGAGACTTTCCTGGTCTGGGAGCTGCTGATCCCTTTGAAGAGATAAGTGCTCATAGAATTAGACAAAGGAGACAGTAAGGCCCAAGGGCCCAGTGAGCACTTTGAGGCTAGAGGAGTTGAAATGAGGGAGAGATTGATGAGGTTCCTGAATCTGCAGGGAAAGCTTTACAGAGGAAAGTTAGGTCTTTCTAGACTCCACATATAAGTGAGATCATACAATATTCGTCTTCCTCTGTTTGATTTATTTCACTTAGTATAATGCCCTTAAGTTTCATCCATGTTGTTGCAAATGACAGGATTTCCTTTTTTTTATGGCTGAATAATCTTTAAAGCATGGGGAGGTTGGAGATAGGATTTTTGAGTTGTGCAGATGTGAGGAGAGCATTCAGGAGTGGGAGAACAGCTGGACCAGAGGAGGGCAGGCAGAGATGCGTGTGTGTATCTGGAGATGCGTGTGTGTAAGTAAGCAAACCTGTGTTGGGTTTAAGAGCCCCTGTTATGGACTCGGGCCTCCTGACCTAGATCCTGTGCCCAGCAACTTACCATACTGGCTCTGTGACCATGGCAAGCTTCTAAACCTTTCCAAACTTATTTCTCTATCCAAATGACAGAGATAATAATTGTACCTTTCTCAAAGGATTATTATGAAAATTGAATGCCAATAAAGAGCTCAGCACAGTGAGTGTTATACCTTAAGAATGCAACAAATATTAGTTGTTATTTGTATGAAAGAGACCGTCTTTCTCACTTGGAGACTTCGTGGGCTGTACTAACCAGTGATTCAGCAGGAAAGAAAGGTTGTGGAGGAAGGACCTGCAACAGTAAGCTAAGGAATTTGGATTTTTTTCTAATAGGTATGAGAATTCAGATATCTTTTTTATTTATTATTTTTAGAGAGAGGGAAAAGAGAGGGAGAGAAACACTGATGTGCAAGAGATACATTGATCAGTTGCCTCACATACACCCCCTGCAGGACCTGGCCCACAACCCACACATGTGCCCTGATTGGGAATCAAACTGGTGACTTTTCGGTTCAGAGACTGACACTTAATCCACTGAGCCACACCAGTGAGGGCAGAAGTTTACATTTTCATCTTGTGAACATAAAAGTCAATGAAAATGAAAGAACAGATGAGATGTGCTCATAGTCCACCTGTGAGATACAGAATTGGCAGAGCTTGGCTGGGCCCCAGGGGAGGCCAGGGATGGACACCCTGTCTCCCACGGGCCCCAGCCAAAGATTCACCTCTCCCTTTCCTGGAGTACAGATGGTTTGTAGTGTTTCCCCGGGCCCCCATGCAGTGGGGGTCCTCTTCTTTGTATTTAAAAGAGAGGGAGGTGGGAAACCAAAGTTGTACAGATTATTGAAATTAGATTTCTGTGAGAACTCAATATGAAAGATTATTTCATTTAAGAAGTAGGAAAATAATTTAGGACACTAATAAGGATAATTTTTACTTCTGATTCTGGTTGAATGAATGGTATAATATTTATTAACCAGAGGTGATAGGCTACATACAAAGTGTTTAAAGAGAACAAATTCCAGCACTCTACAAACTGAATATCTAACAAAGCAAGACAAGGAGCACATAACTCATTGTGTGTAGCTATTTATGACTTAAGTTTTTATGTGTATCATATATCAAGAAGAGGTTCCAGATGTCAGATATCTCATGACATTGGGATCTGTACAATTATAGACAGAATTATACTGTTTTAATGTAATAATGAAGGGGATTTTTTTTACCATAAGGGCCTTTGAAAATGCAAAAAGATACAGAAAAGAAAATCATTCACTTTAGAGATAATATCTTGTTAGCTAATATTGAATATATGTCCATTTAGTCTTTTTTCTGGGTGTTTCCTTTATTTTTGTAGGTAGGGCTCATACTGTATCATTACCTAGTGACCTCCCTTTGCCACACACTGTATCTCATGAGGACTTTCCTTGTCATGAAATAGTTTCAGTTTTTATTTTTAATGGCTATATAATCTTCTATTATAAAGTTATAGTTTTTTTCTAGTTTCATTGAGCTATAATTGACATATAACATTGTATTAGTCCGAGATGTATGTCATAGTGATTCAATACATGTATATTTGCAAAATGATTACCACCACAAGTTTAATTAACACCAGTCACCTCACAGTTACATTTCTTTTCTTGTGATAATTGTTAAGATCTACTCTATTAGCAACTTTCAAATATGCAGTTAATTATACCACCATGCTGTACATTACATCCCAGAACTTATTTTTATCTTATAACTAGAAAGTTTTGTCTTTTGACCACCTTCGCCTATTCCCCCTGCCCCCACCTCTGGCAAACATCAGTTTGTTCTCTGTATCTGTAAGTTTGGTTTTTCAAGACTCCACATATGAGGTCATACAATATTCATCTGCCTCTGTTTGATTTATTTCACTTAGTATTATGCCCTTAAGGTTCATCCATGTCATTGCAAATGACAGGATTTCCCCTTTTTTTTTAACATTTTTTTAAGATTTTTATTTATTTATTCTCAGAGAGGGAAGGGAGATAGAGAGAGAGAAACATCAATGTGCGGTTGCTGGGGGTTATAGCCTGCAACCCAGGCATGTACCCTGCCTGGGAATCGAACCTGCGACAGTTTGGTTTGCAGCCCGTGCTCAATCCACTGAGCTACGCCAGCCAGGGCAGATTTCCCTTTTTTTATGGCTGAATAATATTCTATTGTATATGCTTGTCATTTTTTTTGAAGTCACTCATTCATTAATGGACAGTTTGATAGTTTTTATTTCTTGGCTATTGTAATAATGCCGCAGTGAACATGGGGGTGCAGATATCTTTTCGAGATAGTGATTTTATTTCCTTTGACTATATAGCCAGAAGTGGTATTGCCAGATCTTATGGTAATAATCTTTTCAGTGTTTTGAGGAACTTCCATACTGTTTTCTATAGCGGCTGCACCAATTTACATCTTCACTAGCAGTGTCCAAGGGTTTCCTTTTCTCTACGTCCTCACCAGTGCTTGCTGTCTTTCATCTTTTTGATAACAGGTGGGAGGTGATGTCTCATTGTGGTACTGATTCACATTTCCCTGATTATTAATGATGTTGATCACTTTTTCCTGTACTTTTTCACCATTTGGATGTCTTCTTTGGAAAAATGTCTATTCAGTTCCTCTGCTCATTTTTAAATCAGATTTTTTTTGCTATCGAGTTAGACAAGTTCTTTGTATATTTTGTATGTTAAAACCAAGTTAGATTTTTTTTTACAATTCTCTTATGCTAGAATATTTGGATTGTTTCTGATTTTTCGCTATTATAAATAATAATGCAGTGATCATCTTTGCAAGTAACTATGTTTAAATTTCTGCTGTTTCTATTGGAATATATCATAGAAAATTATTCTATCAAATGGGAAACATTTTAAAGCTTCTATTCTGTAATGCCTGGTTGCCTTCTAGAGAGGTTGTATGTTTGCTCTGCTACCAGCAGTGAATTATTTTTAAGGAAAGACTATCAACCCATTGTCATTCTTTATTATTTTTAATTTTTCAGAGAGCTTTATAGGAAGCATTGTAATCATAAGAACCATGAAAAATGCTTTTGGGCAGAGAGGAAAATATTGAAATATAATCACAGGGAAAAGTTGAAGGGAAGTGCTGTGGCTCTGTAAAGGAGGGCTTCAGTTGTATTTCCACACAACTGAAACACAGAACAGCTTGGGGCTGGGGCAGCTCACGGGCAATTAGAAGAGCTCACTGTGTCCAACTCTGAGGCCTCTGAGACTCAGACAATCCTGGAGGTCTCCAGGAGCCACATTCCATTATTTTCTCTAGACAGAAAGGACCACCGTGGAAATGGAGTCCGTAAGCAGTTTAGCAGTCTCCCCAAAGGAGAGCAGCCTCCACATGGGGCCCATCTGCCTCAACTTCCTTGTCTTCCTAAAATTTACCTCCCAGTCCTGTCATCCTTTTGCCCACTCACCTCCTCAGTCACACAGACTCCAGTGGACTCAACTCCTCTAAAGGGCCGCTACCCCAAACTGCAGGAATCTTATCAAATCCCTGTCGGGAATGAGGCATCACCCTCTGGGACTTCCTGGAGGCTCGGGATTGATTCTTTGCCAGCGCTTGAGCACTCGACAGGCTTAGCAAGAGCGGCTTCTTTGCTGCTCTCAGAATCAGTGATAAGATTATAAGGAGAGTAAGTCTCGTCTCAGAGCCACATTTGTTTTCTGTCGGGCAAGAGCAGCGTTTAATGAGCAAAGATTAGTTACTGGGGGAGAGGACAGCAAATGAAGCAAAAAGCATCCAGGAGAACAAAAAATCATTTTATTGAGCTTATGTCACGACATCTTTACTGCAATAACTCTCTCCCTGTCTGTTTCAGGTGGCCTTAACTTGAACCCCTTAAAGTTTCTGATTTTTGACTGGAATTGGAGAGATCAGAAGTTGAGGAGGATGATGGACATTCCCGAGGTACCGTGTAACCAGCAATTGCCTTTAATCTTTTTTTTTTAATTTGAACTTGAGTTCAAACACCATAACAAAGCCTTTGACATGAGAAACCAGCACATCCTGGCCTTTGACAGTTACTCTTACGTAACAATTACAGCGGCTGTCTCACCCCTTATATACACTTCTGTCCTTTCCACGTGTTTTCTAGGAATCAGCTTCGTTCCTTCATTAAATGGCCGGTGGCTTCTTCCCCCAGGTACCACATCTCTACTGGGCCTTTCGGAAACAGGAAGATCTGGAGGACAGGGCACATTTCCCTGTGCCTCACTTTAGAGTCACTATCACCTTGGCTTTTCATCCTTTTAAGTGTACTTGGAGGTGGGGACACAAATATGCCTCACAGCCCACATCTCTACATTCCCCTAAAACCCACTTACTTAATTTAGAGGCTATTTTGGTTTGGGGGCACAGGGAAATTTTTGACATTTTCAGTGGATTAAAACTGAATGCCTTTGTGGGCACAGCATTAGCTCATATATTTATGAAAGCAATTCATTGTCATCATCATGTGAAAAAAATCACTTGCCACCAACCATGTTTTCATGAGGTTAGTTTTTCAGGTAGCCAGTTGATTGTTTACAAGTAGCTGTTGCAGAGAAAAGGGCCCGTGCAGTAGCAGACACGACCACCTGTCAGCAGCCGGGAACAAATCACGGCGGTAACTGGAGAGGAGACTCAGAGTCACTCCTCCAGCCATGCCGAAGGCATTTGTTCAGTCTACAGTCCCAGAGTGACCACACCTGATTAAAATTGATCAGAGAAGTATATCAGATACCAGTTCACATTAAGAGAGAATTTTCTCAGTTTCCTATCCACTTGCGCGTGCGTGCACGCACTCTGTCCCCTGCACTGACTGGTTTTGTAAAACTGGTTTAATCAATTTGATGTCCAGCACATGAGGCCATATTTGATTATTTTACTTTTAATATTAAATCTGAGTAATCCACCACTAGTTTTCTAATTACAATAATAAGGAGAAATAGTAACAAAAAAAACTTTGTTGCCCATAGCTATTTTCATTATGTTGGTGTTATTATCAGTTATCCTGTATCGAAATATTGTGTATAATCTGGGCACTCTTTGGATGTCTTTGTATGAGATTTCCTTGTATAAGGTTTTGTTCTGAGTGGCTGCACACAAAAGAGCACTTTAATGAAACTGATGATTTGTATAATACCTCCTCCTTTATTTATGTGAATATTCCAACTCTGGGTAAAACATGGGTTAGGATTTTGTCATCCCTGACTCTGTCCATGACAGCTGCATAAATACCAGGGAGTCCAAATGGTTGAATTGATCCACCAAGACCATCTTTTCTTGATCTTAACCTTTTTTTTCTTTTCTCTCATTTAGATAAGAAAGGAGGTTTTTGAACTTCTGGAAACAGGAGTCCTCAATCTGTGCAAGTCAGAATCTTTGAAGCTGGGCCTTTTCTAAGTCTGTGTCCTCATGAGAATCCCCAGTTTTCATTGTGAGGTTTGCATCTCATTTAATGGCTCTGGCACACTGCATACACTCAGTGCATATCAGCTATTGTGTTCCTGTGTGAGCTGCATCACCACGTTGATTGCTGGGAATATTTGATGGGGATCCTTTGACCAAAATGAGTGTGTCCTCCTGGCTGATGTGGCTCAGTGGATTGAGTGCCAGTCTGCAAACCAAAGGGTCGCCAGTTGGATTCCCTCCCAGTCAGGACACATGCCTGGGTTGTGGGCCAGGTCCCCAGTAGAGGGCACACAAGAGGCAACCACACAATGATGTTTCTCTCTTTCTCCCTCCCTCCTGTCTCTCTAAAAATAAATAAATAAATGAAATCTTTTTAAAAAAATGAGTGTGTCCTTTGCCAACTCCCTGCATAATAAAGTATCACCAGCTTGTTTTCCTCTCACTGACTGGCCTCTGATGTGACTGCACAAGAGAAAGCAAAGAGCAAAGTGCTTTCCTTTCTGAGCCACAGTTTCAGCAGCTGCGAAACGGGAATGACATTTCACAGTACTGTTGAGGATTCCATCTGATGGGACTTGTGGAGCAGATCTGTCAGCTGCAAAGCCTGGTCCCAGCATGAAACTGGCAGCAGCAGTAGTGGGAAAAGCTGCAAGCGTGTGGCACTTTATAAATATAAAAGACAACACTATAACTACACCTGTCTTACTCATTTATTATTTCACTTATTTTAAAATAATTTCAAACAGAAAAGTCACAAAAATGATATAGAGAATTTCCATATGCTTCTTCCAATGTTAACAGCATATATAACCATGATACAGTTACCAAACTAAGAAATCAATGTTGGTACAATATAGTACAGTTAATGGAACTAGAGACTTTGATTTCACCAGTTTTCCACCGATGTCCATTTTCTATTTTATATTCCAGGATCCAGTCAAGGGTCTCACGCTGTGTGTAGCTGTCACATCTCCTTAGCTTCCTCAGACTGTGACTGTTCTTCAGTCTTTCCTTTGTTTCACAATCTTGACACTTGAAGAGTACCGATCAGGTAGTTTGTGCAATGTCTCTCAGTGTGAGTTTGTCCATTGTTTTCTGCATTGTTTGTCCAGAATACCACAGACTTGCTATCTCCTTTCTGAGGCATCACAGCAGGGAGACAGAGTGTTGACCAGTCTTCCTACTGGTGATATCAACCTCATCCACCTGGATAAAGTGGTTTCTGCTGTATTTCTCCCCATGAGGTCTCTATTTCTCCCTTTGTAATTAATATATATCTTGGGAGAAATACTTTGAAGTTATACCAATATCCTGTTTTCCCTCATACTTCACTACTAATTTTAGCAACATAGGTAGTTCTTGCCTGAAATCATTATTACATGGTGATTTTTCCCTTTCCCTCATTGCTTCAGCTGTATTCATTGGAATTCTTCTGCAAAAAAGAACTGTCTCTCTTCCCCATTTGCTTCTTGTTCACTTGTTTATTTACATCAGTGTGGGTACATGAATATTTAATTTGTTGTATGGGTTATAACCTGATACTATTGGTTTTGATTTAGTTGCTCAGATTCACTTTTTTACTCATTTAAATAATGTTTGTTGATTAATCATCTGTGTCGAGCATTGTTTAGGGCTTTCACTTACACATAGTCTGTTGTATTTAATCGTTGACACAGTCTTGAAGACAAAGTATTATTCACATTTTTTGATGTTGAAAGGGACTCTCAGAAAACAGAGTAGTTTTAGGAAGCAGAACCAGAAGTCCCCAGATCTCCCATATTCACTTCTGGACACCATGATTGCCTGTTTGGGGATTTAGGCATGTCAAATCAAATAAGAGGTTTTTTTTAAAGGCACATAGATGCCACTAGCGGCATATGAAATTCCACATTGGAATACTGTGAAATTTTAAGTGAGTCTGGCAGTCTAGCAAATCGAACTTCAGCACACACACACTTCCACACACCAGTGACTTGCGGCTGGTGCACTTCTATTGTCTGGAAGCCACACGCAGGGACTCAAGAAAAGCAAGCTCTATTCTGTAGGACCCTGCCTCAGTCCCAGCAAGTTAGAGGAAAAAGAAAAAAGCCACCACAATATAAAGATTTATTTAGCTATGGCTAAACTTAGCCCTATTATTTTCATCCGTTTAATCCTAACATGTGAGATGTTCTTGGCCAATGGTAAGAAAAAAAAGTGGATCACATGCCTTCCCATTATAGGCATTTAATTTCCTGTCAATTAATATGTCTTAGATTAATCTGGAAGAAAGCATCAAGCACAATTGCATAAGAGGACAGATGTGCAAATTGAGACATGTAGTATGTGCATTTCAGAATTCAGACCAATCCACTAAACCACTACGATACACCAAAACCAAAGAATGAAACCATCATGATTATTAGGTTTGCACATAAGTATATGTGGGTGTGAGTGTACCACACACAAACAACCACTTCCTGATTCCAAGCTCCTGTTTAGTGCATTTGCATCCCAGCAGTTAATAGGAAAAGGCAGTGAAATATGGGGCAACTCCATGCATACAAAATGACTGGCATTGCCTGAAGAGGCTATCTACACAGCAAGAAAAGAAAATTGAAAGCAAGGTCTTAAAAAATCACTCTCTGAAGTTTCAACTGACACAACGCAACAGCTGCTAACAGATCATCATATCCATATCAGTTTGGAGCAATGGTTCTCAACCCAAGGCGATTTTGTCACCCAGGGGCCATTGCCATGTCGGGAGACACATTTTGTTGTCACAACCAGGGGGCTACTGGCACCTAGTGAGAAAGTCGTGACTGGCGTTTAGTGGGCACAGGCCAGGGACGCTACTCAACATCCTACAACCCTGCCAGGCAGCCCCTCACAACAAAGGTGTCCGGCCCAAAATGTCAGTGTTGCTGAAGTTGAGGAGTTCTGTTTTAGAAATTTGAAAAGCAGAGTATATGAAACATTGTACGCTTGAAACAGGCTTATTTAGAAGCAAGAAATGTATAAATACAAAAATACTAATAAAATGTGTATCTGGCTATCTCTCAAGAATGTTGCCCAAAAAATGTTTTTCTTACTACCTGTGCCAACTTGACTGGGCCACAGAGTGCCCAGATAACTGATCAAATATTCTGGCTGTTTCTGTGAGTGCCTTTGGATAAAGTTAATATTTAAATTGGTGGACTTTAGTGAAGCAGACAGCCCTCCATAATGGGGGTGGGCTTCATTCTGTCTGTTGAAGGCCTAAGTAGAACAAAGGTCGAGTCCTCCCTCTCCCATCCCCCCACCAAGCAGGAAAGAATTCTGCCTTCCAACTGAAACATCAGCTCTTCCTGGCTGATGGCCTTCAAGCAGGGACATCAGCTCCGCAAATTTTGGACTTTCCAGCCTCTTCCATAATCACGTGAGCCAATTTCTCTCTCTCTCTCTCTCTCTCTCTCTCTCTCTGAACCTCCTTTAGTTTGGGATTTTGGTTAGTTTGGTTTTGTTATTTTGTAAAAAGTCTAAGAAATACAGTTCTTGATGTGTTACTGTAGCAACCATTTTGCTACGCATTTAGCTATGTAGTATAATCCCAACCAATGTTGGATCAAGTACCTAGAAGGCAAACACACCTGGTAATTTCTGGGCTAACCTTGTACATATAACCTCATCTTATGGTCTGTTACGAGCTTTTAAACCCAAGCTTTTGACCATGTTTATTTAGTAAAACAAGTCATAGACGTAAACGAGAAGTGTTCACTGCTGCCTCCTTACACAGGCTGCCTGATACCAACAGCCACACCACCCTCCTCACTGCCTCCTGGCCAGTTTCAAATGACACACTGGAGAGTTTCCATTGGCGGTGCATTTTTTTCCCGTTTTGCAAGTGGCAAGCTTTGACTCTGGATTGGAAATCTCCTAATAGAAGTATTTGCATTTATTTTGTATTCTTTTAAACTAGGTACATTTGCCAAAGTTATTGCCTTCCTTAATATAAAAATAGTCCAAGTGTGACTTCCCTGTCTAATGAAAATAAAAGAGGAGGACTAGAAACTCACCTAATCTTGTAAGAATCCTAATTCTACACCTTAAATGCATCTTAAGAAAAGGACATAATGAAAATGTTAGTGGATTTCTAATATGTGAGAAAAAAGAAACAATAATATATATTATAATATTGAACATTTAATTGTTATCTTTTTCTTTTGCCTCATTTGGGCTACTCCAAAGCATGCACTTGCGAAAAAGTTAGGAGAGATATTTTAGTTTACATTTTTTTTACTATAGTATTTCTTGTGGATGAAAAAATGGAAGCTGTTGAGATTAGACATCTGTATTCTACAACTCCTGTTTGCAGCTCTCTGATTATGCAAATAGAAAAATTAGCTGTAATCTGAGAGCATTTTCCCAAGTTAATTTATATTCATGTTATGGGATAGCCACATTTGGAAAAAAAGCTCACAATCCTAACTTTGTATAAATTTCCAAGGACTTAGGCGAGTTTGAAAGATGAATTCATTTTCCCCCTCTCAGGAAGGTCTTGCCTTGAATTAGTCACCACATCCTAGCAGTAGCCCATTGGAACTGCTTCCCAGTGTCGACAGATGCTGGTGTACCCAGACCGTGCTGTGGAGTTTTCCTCCTCAGGATGGCATTTAGCTCAATCTTTTTGAGGCTAAGTAAAATATACCATGTAGTGGCTGATTGAAGAGAGCTGTGCTCCTGCTAAATGTCAGATCTGGTTAAGAAATAATTCAGGAATTCAAAAGACTGCAACTAGAAAGGGAGGTTCACAGCATTCTTAAGTTAATATTACCATTAAGTGGGATTACTATGAGTAGTAATGTAAATGACTTAAAAGTACATCTCGGTCACCTGCAGGACCAAAATGGACAGGACATCCCAGAGCTGCCGGTCCAGATTGCCAGACAACACTGCCTTGAAGCAGCAGCGATTGCCTGCCTACCGCCTACAGCTCTCAGCCACCAAAGTCCTCTCTGGCTTTTTTGCCACAGGAGCATTCTGCCTTGGCATAGGCATCGTCCTTATATTGTCTGCAAAGAGCATCAAGGAGATAGAGGTCTGCCTCCTCTTATATGTCTAATGCAATTTCTAAGAATTTTCTGTTCTGGGACTATAAGTGAGTGATCCATTTAAGAACACAACCTCTCAACAGGAAACTAAATGAGACTAGACCATCCTGTTTCAGCTGGCAGGTGCAGATGGTGACAGCTTCTGTTTGGTGGCTTCATTCATCCCCAATCCCTCTTAATAACAGTCCCTGTCACTGTCACACTGGTCAGCTCAGCCATGCTTGTTT